CATACGGAGACGCAGCAAGACACCCGCGCGCGAAGCCGGACAGTTAGCACTCCTCCTGAGCGTTCAAAAACAACCGCCGCGCCCTCCCATTGGCGGAACCGGCGCAGACGTCACAGCGCTGCTGACGGCGCTCATCCGGGTCTCCCGCCTTAGCACCGCCCTTTCGGAGCGGTGCTAGAGGTTACGCCCACCACCCCCGCGGGTGAGCCTCTTCGTCTACGTAGTACCCGCTTGTGAAGGTGGTCTCTCCTCGCGGGGTCTGTCTTGTTCATTGAAGCCTGTTGTGCTCGTTGGTGGTCCCATAAGCTGCGGTGGGGCTTCCATCCCCCGCTCTGGTGCTCTGGCTGGAGCGTGCGTCACCGGCTACGCTGGCCGGACCCTCGCCCCGGGTCGTGTGTTCACCTGCATCACCTCAGCTGCCATAGACACAAAGGCAGAAGAACAGCTGTGTATTAAACTGCAAAACTAGAAGATAAAATGTCATTAGTCTTAGATACTTTACTTATAGCAGTTGCTTGTCGCAGGAGTAGCGAGGTGAGCCTTTCTCACTCTTCCCACACTGCCTTCATCGTGGAGTGCTCCCAGCTTCTGCCACTGCAGCTCAGAATGAAAATACTATAAAGGCTGCAATGTTAAAAGCTATTTTCAAACACTTATTTTATGGAAGAAAATGTTACAAAATCCCATTGATAAGATGACAGCAGCTGCCGCTCTGAGGTTTCCATGTGGCCAGGCCATGAAGCATGGCTGAGGTCAGGCGGGTGAGGGAAAACCTCCTGAGGGAAACCTCCCCAGCGAGTGCCAGGTGAAGGCTGCTGTTCACCTCCTTACCACTCCATGAGCATTTCCTCTGATTATGTCATTTTTGAAACAACTGTAGTTGATTAGCGTATGCTAATATCTATGCATATTGAACATGGGACTGCTGAACGTTGATTTACTGCTTTATGATGGAAGAAGGAAAAAAAAATCAGCTAAACAATATCTTACTAACAATGGAATAAATGGTATTCTCGTATCGCAGAAATTAGCATTTTGTAGCTACTACTTTTTTTCTTTTCTCTAACAGCTGCTCCTGCCTACTTGATTTTTATTCCTTACAGCTTGGATGTCGTGTGGCAAGCTAATTTCAAACTTGAAAAATTCTCATAGATCATGACAGAAACCATAGTCCATGGTAAGTGTGCATTTATCCTTTATCACTCCTTGGAAGGTTATGTATTTTTTGTTTCTCTAGCTCAGAATAGCTGGCCTTATCTATGTAATTTTTACAGTAGTGTAAAGAAGCATAATTTAACTTACTGTCTTACTTCATCAGTAGATACTGATAAAGTTGGGGTTGTGTTTCCTGCCAGGAAATAAGTTGCCTTGCAAACACAGTTCCCTATGCAGTGTGACAATCCCCTGCTGAGACATGAGATCATGTCAGAAGGAATCACAATATCTTTAAGGTTCGCCATGAAAAGTTACGAGCAAATTAACACGTTACACCCTCTTAGTAGTGTAACATAAAACCAGAGCAATGCAATTTAAGTTTCTCTTTACATCCTTTTCCTTCTTTCTGTCTGCTTGCTGAGTCTACCAAACAGCTATTAACCCACACTTCCAGCCACAAAACAGCCTTCCCAAAATCAAACAAAAAATCCCACAAGCCTAAGGAAAAAATGAAAAAAGGAGAAAGAAAGGAAGAAAGAGAGGAAGAGAGAAGGAGAGGAAGGAAGAGAGGAAAGAAGAGGAAGCAAGAGGAAGGAAGGGAGGGAGGGAGGGGGAAAGGGAAACAGAAAGAAGGAAGGAAAGAAAGAATTACCCCAATAGAAATAGTGCTTTCCTACTATCATATAGTTAGCCTCGCATCTGCTTCCTACAGATCTCTCACTGTTTTACAGGCAATAATTGGACACACTCCTCCACTCAATACCAGCTAACAGCTTCATATACACTCTTGCAAACTGCTCTTGCTAAACATTAGATGAAATTTTCTCATGGAACTCAACTTCTGGAGGCTTGGGGTGTTATTGTTTTGGGTCTGTTTTGTTGGTGGTTTTTACAAACTTTGTTGCACTTAAAGCTAGCAGGTGTTTTGCATTTGGCCAAGTAGCAATTGCTAGTATTTCTAGCAATGCTGGTAAGGTCTTTTAGTCATTAGTCATTCATTTGCTTAACACGAACACACTGATTGTGGTTAAATGAACCATGCTTTGATTGAAAAAGAATGTTTTCCTCATTGTTATCTAAGTGCTACTTTTATTTTTTTTCCCTGAGTATACTTATATCAAGATTAAGAAACACTCTCTTCACCTTTTTTCTCTCTGTTGTATTCAGTGTTACCCATCAATTTTGTTACACCTCTTTCAGAAACATTTTGGGATCTTTCTGCAGGTTATATTTTGGTTTTTTAATGTTGAATTTCTGTATCCTGATGATCATATTTTCACTGTTACCAAAATGTGCCCATTTCTGCATTATTCCCATCTCAAGACAGTTGCATTTCTATTAGGCTATTTGCAGGTTACACCCTCTGTATTATTTAATTTATTTATAGTGTGAGATTCCTAGTAGTGATTCTTTTCTAGCTCGACTGACTCTTTGCTGTAAGCAATTTCACATTTTTCTTGGTGATTGATGCTGTGACTGATGCCAGAGGTGCTCTAGATTATTAGTTTATTTCTAGCGGATGTGCTCATGTGGCAAAACAGCTGCTACTGTGACCGGGGTTGGTGGAGTATTAAAAGATTTGCTCTTGTGTTAGGTTTACTGACATACATTACTAGGAAAGAGTAATCATATGATTACAGAAAATCACAGGAATTGGGGCTGTGATTCTGGGAGCGTTCTAGATACTTCTCATCAGAGGTCAAGTCTGAGTCTAGTGTTACATGCTGACATCCAGCACATTCTGTCAGTGGTCTGTGTAAAGAGCTCAAAGTTAGAAAGCTGTTTTTCCTAACTAAGCAAGCAGTCAGATATGAAATATTCTATGGAATTTTGATTACATACTTTTATTGCTACTAATATCAAAGTCATCAACTGAATGGAATGTTAACTTTTTCAATGGATGCTCTTGAAAGGTATTGATAATCCAATCCTTGCTGAAAGATGTTCTTAAAACTCCTATTGCTTTCAATAACAGGATAAATTTGTAAGGCTCTATAAAGACAAATTGTTAGATTCACTGTATCTACTTTTACGTTCATTTTTGGTGATCACCAGTAGGGAATGACTGGGACAGAAGAGCAGTCATGGTATAGTGACTAATGGCAAACTTTTGTTGGTGTTGGCAGCTGGATAACCTCCAGATACTCAAATACTCCACCCATCTTTTTAGCTGCCCCATGTCCAGCCCTACATCAGGCAACCGCAGTGATGATGTTTGTACTGTCTGATTTTAACCATCAGAGTAGCTTAATTAGGTTAGAGTGGTAGATATGACTCATATTTCACTACCTCTATGAAAACGAGATACAGAGGTGGAAACTACAATGTGTGCAATGTAGTGCATACTGTGAAGACAGAAGAAAACTTATATACAATTTACATGTAATACCAAATTCATTAATAGCACAAAGTGTTCTGTTAGAGGACATCCTCAGAAGTGGCTCTTATGCACTACCAGTATTTTCTTTCTTTAGATGGAGGATGATACTGGTTAGTGGCACGCAGGACTGCCATGCTTTCTATTACCTTTGCAACTGGAGAAGATCATAGATGCTCCCATGGCTTCCTGAGTCAGCTTTGTTCTCATTTCTTTTGGCTTGCATGCTCGTGCTGCCTGGCAGTGCTTTTCTCCTTGACCACTAGGTAGCTCATTTGTGAGCTGCCTTCAAACAGTTCAGTTCTAAGCAGTTTTGAGTAGGACGTGTGTAGCTATCGTCAGCTTGGAAGTGTCACATCAGGAATCTAAGAGTATTTGGTACATGAGAACTGTGGGGACTAAGATGCTGATGCACCCACTACTTCCCTGAAAATAGAAAAGCAACAAACGTTTTTTGAAGAAGCTAGGAGAGGCTTAGCTGAGCAAAAAGGCCTTGTACTAATTTGACCAAGCTTGGCTAAAAATCCTGTATAAATAATGAACTGAAAAGATTTTGACAACCAGACAATTTATAATTGTCCTTCAGCAAGGTTAGAAAGAATTGTGAGCATCATCTAGGTGTCATTATTTTTTATGTATGTCTATGCTATTTCTTTTACATTTCAGAAATATTTCTCAAATTAGACCCATAAGCTGCTGAAGTTCTGACCACTTCTATTTTGGAATATCTTATTAGGTTATTTATAACCTATGTTTTAGGTTACCCATAACTACTTTGTCATTACAATTTTTATATTTTTCTTTCTCAGAAATACTTTGTTCTACTTACAACTAAAACCACTTATGTAAGAGGAAAACAAGCATGAGT